GGTCTCAGACGTTTACCACTGCTGCTCAACGGACATACCAGTAATCTGTACCAGGTGCAGCATGTCCACATGATGTAGACAGCTGACCCTGTGAGCATGGTGAGAGCTGACCCTGCTGTCAGCTACTGCCCACGTCATGCAAACACCACAAGTAGAATTCATCTGTCAGCTTCTTACATCAAGTCGAGATGACAAAAATTGAGAGGTGCATAATTCATAATCTCATATCTTGATACCATTATGTTTAAGTCAAGGTGACATTGTCATAGCCCATATGTTAAAAGAGACCCCTGGACCCCCTTAATTTTAACCACTGGTATATATTGACATATATGGACATATTTCATTACAACTGTAGTCAGCAGGTCAAATCACTTTAACCACTGTTAACCTCCTATACAAGCAACAGGTACTAGGTTTGGAACTATTTCTGGAATCAACATGATCATGATTCATATCGTATCTGATGATCAATGCTTAATGTGAAACTACAATAAAATACAGAACAGGAAACACAATTAATGGGATCAGGTGGTCAGACTCACTGACGTGGTTGATGCATGTCATTATATCCCAATAGAGTGGATTGATGCTCATGATGTCAATCACTGGATTGTCTGGTCCGGGCTCAATTATTTTCAGTCCGCCATCATATAACTGGAATACTGCTGAGGGTGGCGTTGAAAAACAAACTAACAATACAGGAAACAAAACAGAACCCATATCCCACCTATCAACTTATTACCATGATAAGCAGGTGAACATGGACAGGTGAACATGGACAGGTGAGTATGGTCAGCAGGTAAACATGGACAGGTGAACATGGACCGGTGAGTATGGTCAGCAGGTAAACATGGACAGGTGAGTATGGTCAGCAGGTAAACATGGACAGGTGAACATGGACAGGTGAGTATGGTCAGCAGGTGAACATGGACAGGTGAGTATGGTCAGCAGGTAAACATGGACAGGTGAACATGGTGAGCAGGCCCTTACAAAGTTTCCCAGATTGACACTCAGTAAACATGACAAAGACTATCAATACCACTTTGTCTTAACTAGGTCAAGTATTGCAATATTTCATTTGAAATAAAAACTACTGATGCAAAGAAAACCCTTCAACTCAACATTCATAATGGACAACTGACAACTGTTGAAAACAAGAGGTGTGTATATTGGCGCAAATCCCAAATATGGTAGTTTATAATTGATTTCCAAATAAAAACCACCACTTGATGCTCTTCCAACATTGCCATACAGATCCTACACGTATACTTGAGTAATTCCACTACGAAATCCCAGTGCAAGTTTGGCATGTCAAGCTAACTTCGTAAGATATTCTCATCATGATGTGTCACACACTGTATCGCCACGAACCACACACTCTCAGGTACAGGACAGTTAAGCTTGGAGCACAGGATGGTGGCACAATACCTTCCAGTGAGTGAATGGGGAGTTGGACACACAGCGGAGATAGGCTGTGTTAAGCAGTACAACTACCCAACTGACATGGCTGATGAACAGATGGCAAACTCCCGCTCCACAGGACAATCAATACTTAGTTTAACCATATTAACAGTCTAAATGAGACATACAGTTATGCCATAGGTTGTAGTTTGGAATGTAGGTCAGATGTGACATCCCATCCCAACAGAAGGAAATCTGCAAGATATTTTTCAACTCGAGCTATGATGACACGGTTGAGCGATCATCCACTGCCAAGCCTTCAAACCATGCATGTCACACGAGTCAGCAAATTTAAAAGTAGGCGTCAGCTATTGGTGTCATATCTGGCCTAGTGTTTGATTTGAATTTGAACTCATAAAATATGTCCTTACACAAATATATGTGTGTCACTGTGACCATCAGTGACAGAGCCCTTCTGTAGCATGCACAGGGGGACTTATTATGGCTGTTACACAATGTGTTGTGACGTAACATCTATACAAAATCATGAACATTCAAAGTTTTACATGACAGGATGTATAATAATTGGCAAAACTAAAACACTAAATGGAAAAACTGCTATTTTTTTAAACATTTCAAAATGAGTATATGTACTATTTTATGTGGAAAAACAAACTTCTAAATTTGGCATTCACAATCCTGTTGGTTTGTTTCAATAAGTGTACATCAGACTTTACTTTGACTAAACTAAATACATTTGGAGGCAGTCAAAAATCAACACAAGAGTTTATGACAGCAACACCAGTTACTGAATATGAAGAGGAGACGGGGCTACAGATAAACTGCGCATTTGTTTAAAATACCCCCGAAACAATGAAGCTTTTTCAGCATGCGTAAAATGGAGCAAGTTTCTGAAACACAATTACGAGCTAATTTACTTTCCTAGTCAAGCCTACATTTAGAACTGTTTATATACATCTAAAACCTTTCACTTTTTTTAAAAATCAAAATGCTTTCTCATTTTAGGAAAAACCCAATACAGTGATGAATAGATGAGTGAAAAAATATTGGTTACCCATTGAAAAATATAATAACCGAATTAAAATAGAAACCATTTGAGTAAAAACTTAATTGCTCACAAAGTTATCTGGAGCTCTGAGGAGATATTTCAATCTCAGAATATCAGCTGAACATACAAATATGATTCTCTACCTTACAGTGTTGTTTTCGTGAGTTTTGTTTTTAGGCTAAACATCTTAACTTAGTCAAGAAGGGCAAGCGTCAGGAAACATGGCCAACGGTACTTACTAACCATGTTGTTTGCATGTCAACTGTCAAACACACCGTGACTCAGTGTATGGGATATGTTGACAAGCATTCCATTCCATTTGAAATAGTGTTTGATAGTTCCCTACTCCTTGTTTGAATGACAAGTGATAACATTATTGATAAGTTGATAGTGACAACTGCAGTGAATACAATGCCTCTTCCATCTTGTACTTCATTACTGTTAATTCTCATGTGTATACTGAAGCAACATCCATATACACGGAGACGCTGTCACATCACCTCACAGAAATAGAATGTAGCAGTTTACAAATTCTACTTCATCTATTCAAAGTTACGAGAAAACAACCAAAAGAGACACTTTAAAAACCTTTCTCCAGAAACCATGGGACCTGCTTGTGTTGATATTTCAATGCCTTTTAATCGATATCATTTCTTCTGAATCAGAAAGAAATGAAGTGTGGTTATAAATTTCCGTGTGCAGTGCACATATATTATTCTGAAAATATTTTCTCTATACCCAAAACTGACAAGATTTGTTATGTCCAAACACAATGGAACTAGCTTACAGTTACACACAAATGTAATAAAGTAATAACAGATATATGCACTGATTATTTGAAGTCCCTATGGTATAAGTATGTGATTATGCTCTACTGTTAATGAACAAACAAACAAATTTGTCTGAGTGAAGAGGCTCAGTTGACACAGCCTCCACTGCTGATTGCTGTCCTAACAATCCCGTATGTTGACAGTGCTGGTGTGTATATGATGTCGGTGTGTTCCTCACTCCACTATCTAAAGCAGGTGAATCAAATTGTCAATATTGAAGTATTTCAAAATGAACAGGAAGAAATTCTGTGGTAAACGCTAACATAAAATGACATGTAGCTTTATTGCCCCACCTAGGTGAATAACATGGTTAGTTTATTGTGTGTAGACTGTGGTGTGTACCATTAGCAACGTCCAAACTGATAAAGAACATGGGACAGTGTGAAGGAAATATTCATTAACAGTGTACGATAAACTCAAGTGATTCTTGCCATAACTCTTGTGTACAAACAGATTTAGCATGTTCAGAAGGGCCCCTCGATATATAAAAAAACCCGTTATAGCAGGAAAAACCTGAACTTTTGGACATTGTCCCAAGAATATGAAGGAAACAGAATTATAATATTGCTCTTCAATCCCTGTTTGGTATTTTTCATGATTTTTGTATTTACAACATGGGTTTGATATTTGTCCAGTATGTCTACCATTATGTTAATGGCATATATATATATATATATATATATATATATATATATATATATATATATATATATATATATATAAGTATAGCTAACTGACCTAATACTTGGGAGTCGGACATTACTGTTGTCAAGCAAAGGATATCTTACATTAACATGCTAACTACCGGTAGTCACAGTGTGGATTGCTGGCAGTTTTTAAGGGGAGAATTTAGTTACTAGTTATGCAATAAACAGTACGTGAACATAATTTCCACTTTTGTGTTACTGTATTGTACATATTCAGCGTAAGAAATTGGCACTAGTCCTATAGTCCTTCCCTAACTGCCCAATATTGAAAGTATCATAAGGACAAGTAGAAATGTGCCCTTTTTAAGGGTTATACTATATGTGATTATTATAAGGACTAGTGAACTACAACTGTTAGTTTCCACTGCAGATATTGGGTCAGTTCGTTAAAATACAGGGTGTGGTCAAATCTCATGGCTTATGTAAGCTTGGGGCTGTATATTTCATGTGTACTTATTACAGCTAGAACCATATATTAACACATCAAAATAATATTTATTATGGACAGTTTTATGTAGGTAAAAATCACCATGTACAATGGGCTCCTCAACGAACAGTTAAATAAACAAATGACTGATAATTTCATTGATTCATCGAAGCAAGTTAATATCGCTTTAACTCCATACAGATCTATTTGTTGAATCACAAAATGGTGACAAATTCAGAGAAAAGTGACAAAAGAACACTCAAACGTAGAGTGGTCAGATATAACGGTTTATTAGAATCAAGGACATTCCGACGTGTGGGGCTTATATTTCATTTTTGGCAAGAGAAACCTGTTCATATGACCATGACATTGAAAACACTGCCCCAACCACCAGGCGACATACCCAACTAGTTTGAAAGCGATTGCGTTCTAAAGCAATCTGAGATTATCCACGATACTGAAGTTGGATGAAATATGTTTATACACGGTGTAAGCCAGTTTCACCGGTAAACTCAGAGGAAATACTATTCATAAAACACTACCCAAAGTGGGAACACACCTACCTTGATTCCTACACCGGGATCGGTTATACACACGACCTGTCGCCAAACGACGCAATCAGGTGATTAGTAATAATTTCAATGACGGCCTGTATGTCTCGTATCCCGAAAACAACAATAACATACAGATCTATTCATATAATCCAGTAGTATCGAAGGACATAGTTGAAATCTGTGTCATATCGAAACCTGCCTCCATTACAAGAACCTGACGGCGGTTACAAATTTGCGCTTCCGCTCACGACAGGATAAATAGTTCTACGTTTAGGGGTAATCTTTATGTCGCGTAGCATGAATAAAAACTTTTTATATGTGTACACTTTGACTCAGTTAGTGTAAAGAATGTCTATATATGAAAAATATGACAGTATCTTCTTCTTAGAATAAGTGGGTTACGCGCGGAAGGATACTCGAAAGATTTGTGGTGCTGCCATCTATGAAAGGAGAACGTAACTTCGCCGATCTCGTTCACCGGGTTGAGATATCACTATCGAAAAAATGTCAATGTGTCATTTTCTTTCATCGAAACTTTACTGATGGGTTTAAAGATGAAGATCTATTTAATGTTGCAAGTTTGTGTTATTGACTATTCAAGGATGGTATTTTAGTTGAGAAATTAGTTTCGGATAGATATATTCGTTCACAAGCCGGTAGCCTACAAGTTCCTCAAACAAGGGGCGGTGGTCACATGCAAGTGGTTTGAACGTTCGCGCTCGTAACACGAAAAGACTGAGTTCGATACCCAAAATGACAACATTTGTGTGAAGTCTCGCATTCATACTTCAATCGTTTTATTAAAGGATTTCAAATCCAGGCACCAGCAATAATGTACTTTACATACGTATTGATGTATGTGAGGAAATCTGTACATTTGTCATTTTTTGTAAGCTATTTAGGCCTCGTTGGGACTTATACGACGCTTTTAGCAATATTCCAGCAATGCCATGGGGGAGGAAGGGGGTGTGGGCTGGGCCTATTTAAGTTTCTACTTTGCTAATTAAATTACAAGACATCTATATTTTACAAGTCATTTCGTCGATTTGCTGAGGTATGTATTTCAGTACCAAGAGGCCTCTAGCTCATTTATGACAGGCCATTATTCAAATAATGTAAATTCCCTGTAACTTTTTAATCACGAATTACTACTGCAACATGTTTCAATTAGTGCAGTGTGCACGATGACGTCGTAGAGATTATTATACGAGCATGTGTGTCATACTGATTTTACGAAAATAGTGTCAGAATTCTTGTATTTCCCGAGATCGAGGGTAATACACGAATTCTTACATGAGTTTTGTAAAATCAGTGAGTGAGTTGGGTTTTAACATTATTCCAGTTATATCACGGCGTGTCAGCTTAATGTGGGAGGAAAGCCCGAAGTGATGCAGGTCTCAGACGTTTACCACTTCGGTTAAACCCACGAGCATGGGTATGGTGCTGACAAACGCAGAAACATAATCGGGGCGAACCGGGATTCGAATCGTAAAATCAGTGTGACACGCATGTGAGTGTAATAATTTTTTTATTACCCATTATTTCTTAATCCTTTTGAGCTCCCTTTTAAAAAATGCAGTGATCACCACCGCTGTCTAAGAAAACCACAACTTGAATGACGTCAACGAGCTTCAGCTTTGGCATCGTTTTTAGTGTGAACTATTGTATCTTTAACCCTTGGGCATTAAATAAGTATATGTTCGGCACGCTATAGCTAACATCATGTGCTGCTAGGTCCACCTTGAACATCCGGGTAGGATTTGGTCTTCAGCAACCCCAATGCTTGTCGTAAGTGGCGACTAATGGTATGGTCAGGCTCGCTGACTTGGTGGATAAATGTCTTCGTTTCCAAACTGCGTAGCACGATGCTCATGATTATTTACAGACCGCCGTCATATAGCTGGAATATTGCCTAGTGCGGCGTTAAACAACAAACAAATAAACAAACAGAAACCACAATAAGAAATACCTTTGGGATAAAAACAATATAAGTGTATCCTCAGCTATAACGTGTTCATGCATCGGATTTTACAGAAAATAATCTCGAAGAAATGTTGCACACCTACGTTCTTATTCCTCATGTATTACATTATCTGTAATGCACAGTGTCTGTTATTTAAATATGTAAATATTAAGGATAAGATATATGGATGAACATTTGCTTTATTATAATTAGGAGCGAAGTTTCGGTGTAGGTTCTAACACCGTTATCAAGCAAGTGATGTACATAGTATGGTTGAAAAGTATATATATGCAGGTAATAGGAGGCAGTGTTTATACAATAACAGATGACATATATTACCTGCATAAACATTAATTATGGGGAAACAGGTAGCCCAGTCGTCCAGGGCGACGCCCCTTATGTCAGGATACTGTGAGTTTGGGTCCGAATACAAAGTCCATCCTGGTTATTGTTCTTGGTGTGACTGCACCAAACTTGTGCCTGTGGACAGGGTCTTAACCTGCCATCGCCTCACTTGATATAAACAAGACATACTGTTCAAAGCGGCGTTAAACTCACTCATTCACTTAGGACATGGTTTAAAAATACCGTTATGGGTGTGTCAGTGCATCTTTTGATTTATGACAGCAAAGTATATCTAACACGCGCACGCACACATATATATATACACGCGCGCCATACAGAACGTCATCTTGCACGCGGTCTGTAAATAACCGAGTACAATTGTAGAAAAGGAGGCATGGATGACCCGATAGTCTATAGGGTTGTGTAGAGTTGCGTCCCTTAGGTGTGCCCGAACCCTATGATTGTAGGTTCGAATCCAGGAGGCGCCCTCATTATGTTTCCTTGTTTGTCAGCACCAACTCCGTGTTCGTGTGTTCTGCTTTCGGCTGTTCTGCTTTCCTCCCACATTCCTCTGACACACCATGATATAACTGGAATACTGTCACAAGCGGCGTTAACCCCAACTCACTCATATCGCATACATGTTTGACATATCATTAACTATAAAGAGAAAATCTACACGTGTGTCCCAACAACAAGAAGGCATTTCATAACTGCAGCTGTGTGTATGGGACAAGGTGAAACCCTTGAAATCTTGTGTTTCGATGATACAAAATATCTTTTGTTTGGGGCGGGGTGAACCTCATGAATCATATTTTGACCTATGCAAACTCAGTTGGAATCCCCCTGTTGTTGAGCGGCCGATATCTGCGCACGAGTCTTGTATTCTCAGTGGAGACATCAATACCCAGAAACCAACATGGCACATAACATACTAAAAAATCCCCAATGTAAATCAACAGGTGTCTTACTACAATTATGGGTGCAGGCTAAAACGGCACCTCAGCAAAACGTCACCGATTTCTCTGGCGAGAACGGCACCGCATTTGGCGTAAACGGCTACTATGTGTCGGGCGAAAACGGCACCTCTATTTTTAAGAACGATAACAACGATTTTTGTAGTAATATATAGGGTATTTGATGTATTTACATGTCATTTGATGTATGTGATGTATTTACATTGTATTTCCCGTTTTCACAGATAAGTAAATATATACAGTTTTGTGGCATGTCTATCGTCAACATCATCATCATCATGCTCTTCACAATATTGGTCCATGTACAACCGAACATTGTGAGAGTACTTGGGTCAGGGAGAGATCTCCATCTCCATCCTATAGTTGGAGTAGAGGCTAATTTCTAATGTAAACTTGTTTTAACATCTCACAATTATTGGCGTTTGCAAGTTACAATGTAAGTTTAATATGATTTATTTGACCAAGGTAAAAAAAAAAATAAGGTGCCGTTTTCGCTGGAGTCGAGGTGCCGTTTTCGCCCGGTGACACATTTTTGCAAGGGGCCATTTTCTCAATATATTTTCCATAATATAACCCCTCCGCCGGTATCCGTACCCTGACTACGCTATAGTAGCTATACCTTGCTCAGTAGTCTGTCTTACAGACCCTGATACAAATATATCAAATGCAAGTCTATAATGTATGGCAAGTCTAGATTTCTGCAGTATCTGAAAATGAAGAGAGTCTCTGGGCCCCTTTTTATTAAATTTCATTAACATAATGTAACAACTATTTTTTTCTGTACGATATGTTCATTTCAGAGACTAGATGATACTACTAGATGTCTACTTGCTCAGTACATTGGTACTGAAATGAAAACGTGGTTTCTGGAAGAACTTGTTTTTTTAATTTTATTTTAGTACCAGTGACACCTTTTGTTTTTAAAATTACCGTACTTGAGCCAGTATGGTAACCAATATCACATAAACAGAGACACAGACAACAGGAGAACCTCTGGGGAAGTCCGGATAATTCCTGATCTGGATTCTATATGTACCCAGCCTGACCCCAGCTTAAATCAGAATGACTCTTCATAGGAATTGTTCCTGAAAGTTATAACTGTTATTTGAGTAGCCCTGGCTCGTTTAAGTTCACACCAATTACAATAGAGACATGAAGATGTATTCGACAACCACAAGAATTGCGAATATGCTAATTGTGTAGCTATAACTCTATTGAAGATTTAATTTTGTTATGATTTGCAATGCTTATAATGCTATAAGATAAAAACATATTTGTTAAAAATTGTATGTTTAATATTAAGCATCTCGTAAATTTAATGAGCTGATGGAACATTTTCTGGATAAACTTCTGCACCTTCGAAACAACAATAACTAAATCTCTTCTGATTTGTTATTTTTGTTTCTCCAAAATTTGGGGCCATTTCCACAAAATATTTGGGCAATTTTCTCCAAATTGTCTGGGGCCATTGTCTGCCGCGGAGTATCAACCCACTACCTGTGTACATTGTTCGTATAATTTGACCATTATGCAATTTGTATTAACCAAGATGGCCGCCGGTAGTCGAGTTTTGTTATAAGTATTTATGTGTCATTGTTCAGAGAGAAAATGACAAGTGCTCTGATAGTAAAGAAGGAAGAGACACAGACCATGAGGTAGGCACCCAGATGTCCATCGATTAAAATTGATGACATGGGCATGACAGCAGTTAACAATGACCGAAACAACGAAAATACCAGGTCTTTGTAAAGACCTTTAGTTTTCGTGCATAGTGTACGTTATGATATGTAAGATAGCAACGCGATAAATCGCAAAGAACACTGAAGAACGAAGCGTGGTTTATTTCACGACAAAACAATGTTCAGTAAGACTTTCGCCAGTATACCCCCTACGTATATATATTATATAATTGAAAGGATTGAACGGCACTGCATACATATAAACTTTTGGGAGGAGGGATACGGGCGGAAGTCTTTCCTATCGTACAATAAAACACTGCGCCTCTCAATGTTTCTTCTCACTGCAGTGTTTTATTCTATGATAAACAACGACCACAAGTCATTTATTTCTTGAATAATGTTTTCGATAAACTATTAACATGAACACAAATAGTCACTTACTCTGAGATTGGGTTAGGGTAAGAGTTTAGATTTTGACCTAGTATTCATTAATAATGACGGTGGAAAGCCACACACCGACATGGATGTTGAGGATGCCAAAGTGTATCATAAGTATGTAATGTCTAACCTAAACACTCTCCATAAGGCTGGGATGAGTCCAAATTTACTACCTGGGTACCCCCTATTACCCGACCCTATCTGGTACCCTCTGAAGGTCTCAAGAGAGGTAAAAACTGTCTGATTGGGAAAAGTTTGACCGTAGCCCTGGCAAAATGTATTTAGATACACGTATAAAACGGTCTGGTCATGCATACACTGATGTTTACTGCATGAAGTTTTATCTTTTTATCAAACATATAAAAGTCAGAAGGAATGGGTGCATAGTCAGAAAGAAATGGGAACATTAGTGACTTGTAGTGTGACCATTGAGTTTTAGATACATTTTGTCATAAAACAATATAGCATGTGACTAACCACAGGTCCGGGTAGTCCTGTGAGTACCAGGGTCCTGCTCAGTAACCAGCCGACCCAAGCCCTAACATCCACTATTGCGGAATATACTGTTTTGAAATGTTTCAGGCACAAGCTTCAGAAATTTGGTTTCTGGGATAGCAAAAGACGACTAAAGCAGCTATCTGCAGAATATGTTGCTATTCCAATCACTGTAGATGCCCTCAGTTGGACGGACCTGGGGCTTCATGACAGGTGCCCTCCATGTCAGGTGATAACATCAAAACAAAAGGAGTTAATAAGCAATAGTCACTTTCTTATAGATACCATTTGTGACTGTCTATTTTAATTTTAAGAATTAATTGTAATTACGAATTCTGGTAATTGGTCAGATAAATACTTTTGTTCAGTCTGTGTTAAAAACTTTTTAGTCAACTACCCTGAAAATGTGTGCATAATTTTCATTGTATTTTAGTCTTGGTTTATGAACAAGTATAATGTGATCTTACTAGACGAGACAAAATTTTACCAGACTCGGGCTTTGGACTTGTCGCTGCCTGCTTATTAAAAATGACTTTCTACTTTGCTGTTATAGACTGATACTCATCTGTCTGTAATGTCTGTTAAATATGTGTACCAAAACGTTTATAACGATCATACTTCAGAATTAGTAAGTTAATTATATGTGGATTCTAAATCAAAGAGAGATCCTCTGTTTCATTGATACTTAAATGCAGTGTTATTATTTTATACACTAAACTCAAATGGTCAGTGGTCACAATTATCATTTCTCCATGTTACTACAGGTAAAGGAAGTGGATCTTGCCCCATCAAAGACATCACGCCTGGAGCCTCCAGCTGACAACCTCAAGAGACATGTAGCACGATTCCTGACTGACTCAGGCAGAGTTGTCTCCCCTGAACTACTGGCAGATTTGCCATCTCACTGGGAGAAACACGGAGACCTCATCCTGTTTTCCAACTCGGCCTTCACCAGTGATGTTTGGTCCCAGCTAGGTGAGCTGGACAACAGCTTCTGTAGCAAGACTTAGACCTGTGATCTAAATGTGCTTCCTCCCATCACATTCTTGCAAGAAAAAACTAATACAAAAGTCTTTAGAGTCAGTAGATTTAACCAAACATTAAACCTATCTAAGCCTGATGATAATACCCGTAATCCAGTCTCATTAAAATCAGATCCCAGTTCTCACTACCGCTAAACAAAGATCTGAGGACATCCCATAATGGGACACATCAGAACTACCTTTCATCCGCCCAATCAGAGCGTCGCTTACCAGATCATAAAAGTGACATTCAGAATGTGATTTCTGATCATGCAACTTCGAAAGATTAACATGGGGTTTTCCGAATGACAGTTACAGGCTTCATGACTGAATCCATGTAATCTATTGCCATTCCCGAATGTTTGTTTGTTCTGTTTTCAAATTTGTAATTGAGAATTTGTCAAAATATGTTTCAAAGCATAGCCAGTTTGAAATTTGTGCTGCAAAGCACGGGAAAGCTGCCTTCTGATTGGCTAATGTCGACTTCTTGTCAGTCATTCCATTGGTCAGACAAAATTCCTGAAAGGTCAGTCTGATGTGACCCATGATGGGATGTCCTCAGATCTTTGTTTAGTGGTAACTAAACTGAAACACTATTCAGAGGGATGAGGAAGGAGTAAGCATATACTCCAAAACGTGTTCCTCATAATAAAGCAGTTGACATCCACAAATTCTCTTCCTCATGCGTATCACTTCTAAATGCCTGATGTTACCAAGGAACAGTTTTCCTACCATCTGTTCCATCTTTTCCAGGCTCTCCACTATGGAAGGTAGTGTGTCAGTGTCTAGTTGGCTCACGTCTCGCCAGGAAGTCCAGCATCTCGGCGGATGGCTTCCGTAGCCCCCAGGTGGCGCTGCTGTATGGAGACAATGGCTGGGTGGAGCATGTTGACAATGGCATCAGGCAAGGGAGACAACTCAAACCTTTATTTCATATCTGTAAATCTGCTGCTATCATGCTCTGAGGTAGTTGCAGTAAACTTGGCCTACAAAAAACATTACCACTGCTACCTCAAGTTAATACTACTACCACCATAAAAGACTGGAGATTTTCATCATTGTCAAACTGAAAGAATCCCATCTGATTCAATTTTACCACAATAACCACTTGTCAACCACCCCTCTCCATAAGCTGATGACTTGCCTTGGAATGAAAAACAAATGTATGAAACAAACTGCCGAATGCCTCACATTCAAAGGTTTGGAAGAAATAATGTTATTGTGTCTTGTGGCATGAAGTAAGAGTAACTTCCTCAACACTGATTTGAGTATTGAGCTGATGTCCGGGTGATTTCTACAGGTACAGTTACGACGTGACACGCTGCATGTTTAGCATTGGAAACATCACCGAGAAACTCCGTGTTGGACAGATGGCTTGCAAGGGGGAGACTGTGGTGGATCTGTATGCAGGTAGGGCTGATTGTAGTCACGTCACAGCAGCCACACCTAGAGAAGCGAGACACCTGGAAACACGAGTCACACCTGGAAACACGAGTCACACCTGGAAACACAAGTCACATCTGGAGATGCTAGTCACACCTGGAGATGCTAGTCACACTGGTCACACCTGGAAACACGAGTCACACCTGGAAACACGAGTCACACCTGGAAACACAAGTCACACCTGGAAACACAAGTCACACCTGGAAACACTAGTCTCACCCAGAATCAAAAACACGAGTCACACCTGGAAACAAAAGTCACACCTGGAAACACGAGTCTCAACCGGAATCAAAAACACGAGTCACACCTGGAAACACTAGTCACACCTGGAAACACTAGTCACACCTGGAAACACAAGTCACACCTGGAAAGACTAGTCTCACCCAGAATCAAAATCACGAGTCACACCTGGAAACAAAAGTCACACCTGGAAACACGAGTCTCACCCGGAATCAAAAACACTTGTCACACCTGGAAACACTAGTCACACCTGGAAACACGAGTCACAGCTGGAAACACGAGTCACAGCTGGAAACACTAGTCACACCTGGAAACACTAGTCACACCTGGAAACACTAGTCACACCTGGAAACACAAGTCACACCTGGAAACACAAGTCACACCTGGAAACACAAGTCACACCTGGAAACACTAGTCTCACACAGAATCAAAAACACTAGTCACATCTGGAAACACTAGTCACACCTTGAAACATGAGTCACACTAGTCACACTGAAAACACTAGTCACACCTGGAAACACGAGTCATACCTGGAAACACAAGTCACACCTGGAAACACTAGTCACACCTGGAAACACAAGTCACACCTGGAGATGCTAGTCACACCTGGAGATGCTAGTCACACTAGTCACACCTGGAAACACTAGTCACACCTGGAAACACTAGTCACACCTGGAAACACTAGTCACACCTGGAAACACGAGTCACACATGGAAACACTAGTCACACCTGGAAACACTAGTCACACCTGGAAACACTAGTCACACCTGGAAACTGGAAAAACAAGTCACACCTGGAGATGCTAGTCACACCTGGAGATGCTAGTCACACTAGTCACACCTGGAAACACTAGTCACACCTGGAAACACTAGTCACACCTGGAAACACTAGTCACACCTGGAAACACGAGTCACACCTTGAAACACTAGTCACACCTGGAAACACTAGTCACACCTGAAAACACTAGTCAAACCTGGAAACACTAGTCTCACCTGGAAACACAAGTCACACCTGGAAACACTAGTCACACCTGGAAACACTAGTCACACCTGGAAACACTAGTCACACATGGAAGCACGAGTCACACATGGAAACACTAGTCTCACCCAGAATCAGAAACACAAGTCGTACCTGGAAACACTAGTCACACCTGGAAACACTAGTCACACCTTGAAACACTACTCTCACCTGGAAACACTAGTCATACCTGGAAACACTAATCACACCTGGAAACACACCTGGAGATGCTAGTCACACTAGTCACACCTGGAAACACTTGTCACACCTGGAAACACTAGTCACACCTGGAAACACTAGTAACACCTGGAAACATGAGTCACACCTGGAAACACAAGTCACACCTGGAAACACGAGTCACACCTGGAAACACTAGTCACACCTGGAAACACAAGTCACACCTGGAAACACAAGTCACACCTGGAAACACAAGTCACACCTGGAAACACTAGTCACACATGGAAGCACGAGTCACACATGGAAACACTAGTCTCACCCAGAATCAGAAACACTAGTCGTACCTGGAAACACTAGTCACACCTGGAAACACTAGTCACACCTTGAAACACTACTCTCACCTGGAAACACTAGTCATACCTGGAAACACTAATCACACCTGGAAACACACCTGGAGATGCTAGTCACACTAGTCACACCTGGAAACACTTGTCACACCTGGAAACACTAGTCACACCTGGAAACACTAGTAACACCTGGAAACACGAGTCACACCTTGAAACACTAGTCACACCTGGAAACACAAGTCACACCTGGAAACATGAGTCACACCTGGAAACACAAGTCACACCTGGAAACACGAGTCACACCTGGAAACACTAGTCACACCTGGAAACACAAGTCACACCTGGAGATGCTAGTCACACCTGGAGATGCTAGTCACACTAGTCACACCTGGAAACACTAGTCACACCTGGAAACACAAGTCACACCTGGAAACACTAGTCACACCTGGAAACACGAGTCACACATGGAAACACTAGTCACACCTGGAAACACTAGTCACACCTGGAAACACTAGTCACACCTTGAAACATGAGTCACACTAGTCACACTGAAAACACTAGTCACACCTGGAAACACGAGTCATACCTGGAAACACAAGTCACACCTGGAAACACTAGTCACACCTGGAAACACAAGTCACACCTGGAGATGCTAGTCACACCTGGAGATGCTAGTCACACTAGTCACACCTGGAAACACTAGTCACACCTGGAAACACAAGTCACACCTGGAAACACTAGTCACACCTGGAAACACGAGTCACACATGGAAACACTAGTCACACCTGGAAACACTAGTCACACCTGGAAACACTAGTCACACCTGGAAACTGGAAACACAAGTCACACCTGGGGATGCTAATCACACCTGGAGATGCTAGTCACACTAGTCACACCTGGAAAACACCTGGAAACACTAGTCACACCTGGAAACACTAGTCACACCTGGAAACACGAGTCACACATGGAAACACTAGTCACACCTGGAAACACTAGTCACACCTGAAAACACTAGTCAAACCTGGAAACACTAGTCTCACCTGGAAACACAAGTCACACCTGGAAACACTAGTCACACCTGGAAACACTAGTCACACCTGGAAAGACTAGTCACACATGGAAGCACGAGTCACACATGGAAACACTAGTCTCACCCAGAATCAGAAACACTAGTCGTACCTGGAAACACTAGTCACACCTGGAAACACTAGTCACACCTTGAAACACTAGTCATACCTAGGAACACTAATCACACCTGGAAACACAAGTCACACCTGGAGATGCTAGTCACACCTGGAGATGCTAGTCACACTAGTCACACCTGGAAACACTTGTCACACCTGGAAACACTAGTCACACCTGGAAACACTAGTCATACCTAGGAACACTAATCACACCTGGAAACACAAGTCACACCTGGAGATGCTAGTCACACCTGGAGATGCTAGTCACACTAGTCACACCTGGAAACACTTGTCACACCTGGAAACACTTGTCACACCTTGAAACACTAGTCACACCTGGAAACACAAGTCACACCTGGAAACATGAGTCACACCTGGAAACACAAGTCACACCTGGAAACACGAGTCACACCTGGAAACACTAGTCACACCTGGAAACACAAGTCACACCTGGAAACACAAGTCACACCTGGAAACACAAGTCACACCTGGAAACACTAGTCTCACACAGAATCAAAAACACTAGTCACACCTGGAAACACTAGTCACACCTTGAAACATGAGTCACACTAGTCACACTGAAAACACTAGTCACACCTGGAAACACGAGTCATACCTGGAAACACAAGTCACACCTGGAAACACTAGTCACACCTGGAAACACAAGTCACACCTGGAGATGCTAGTCACACCTGGAGATGCTAGTCACACTAGTCACACCTGGAAACACTAGTCACACCTGGAAACACTAGTCACACCTGGAAACACGAGTCACACATGGAAACACTAGTCACACCTGGAAACACTAGTCACACCTGGAAACACTAGTCACACCTGGAAACTGGAAACACAAGTCACACCTGGAGATGCTAGTCACACCTGGAGATGCTAGTCACACTAGTCACACCTGGAAACACTAGTCACACCTGGAAACACGAGTCACACCTGGAAACACTAGTCACACCTGGAAACACTAGTCACACCTGGAAACACTAGTAACACCTGGAAACACGAGTCACACCTGGAAACACGAGTCACACCTGGAAACACAAGTCACACCTGGAAACACGAGTCACACCTGGAAACACGAGTCACACATGGAAACACTAGTCACACCTGGAAACACAAGTCACACCTGGAAACATGAGTCACACTAGTCACACCTGGAAACACTAGTCACACCTGGAAACACAAGTCACACCTGGAAACACAAGTCACACCTGGAAACACAAGTCACACCTGGAAACACGAGTCACACCTGGAAACATGAGTCACACCTGGAAACACTAGTCACACCTGGAAACACTAGTCATACCTGGAAACACTAATCACACCTGGAAACACAAGTCACACCTGGAGATGCTAGTCACACCTGGAGATGCTAGTCACACTAGTCACACCTGGAAACACTTGTCACACCTGGAAACACTAGTCACACCTGGAAACACTAGTAACACCTGGAAACACGAGTCACACCTTGAAACACTAGTCACACCTGGAAACACAAGTCACACCTGGAAACATGAGTCACACCTGGAAACACAAGTCACACCTGGAAACACGAGTCACACCTGGAAACACGAGTCACACCTGGAAACACGAGTCACACATGGAAACACTAGTCACACCTGGAAACACAAGTCACACCTGGAAACATGAGTCACACTAGTCACACCTGGAAACACTAGTCACACCTGGAAACACAAGTCACACCTGGAAACACAAGTCACACCTGGAAACACGAGTCACACCTGGAAACATGAGTCACACTAGTCACACCTGAAAACACTAGTCACACCTGGAAACACTAGTCACACCTTGAAACACAAGTCACACCTGGAAACATGAGTCACACTAGTCACACCTGGAAACACGAGTCACACCTGGAAACATGAGTCACACTAGTCACACCTGAAAACACTAGTCACACCTGGAAACACGAGGCACACATGGAAACACGAGTCACACATGGAAACACTACTCTCACCTGGAAACACAAGTCACACCTGAAAACACAAGTCACACCTGGAAACACTAGTCACACATGGAAACACGAGTCACACCTGGAAACACTAGTCACACCTTGAAACACAAGTCACACCTGGAAACATGAGTCACACTAGTCACACCTGGAAACACTAGTCACACCTGGAAACACTAGTCACACCTGGAAACACTAGTCACACATGGAAACACTAGTCACACATGGAAACACTAGTCACACATGGAAACACTAGTCACACATGGAAACACGAGTCACACCTGGAAACACGAGTCACACCTGGAAACACGAGTCACACATGGAAACACTAGTCACACCTGGAAACACAAGTCACACCTGGAAACATGAGTCACACTAGTCACACCTGGAAACACTAGTCACACCTGGAAACACAAGTCACACCTGGAAACACAAGTCACACCTGGAAACACAAGTCACACCTGGAAACACGAGTCACACCTGGAAACATGAGTCACACCTGGAAACACTAGTCACACCTGGAAACACTAGTCATACCTGGAAACACTAATCACACCTGGAAACACAAGTCACACCTGGAGATGCTAGTCACACCTGGAGATGCTAGTCACACTAGTCACACCTGGAAACACTTGTCACACCTGGAAACACTAGTCACACCTGGAAACACAAGTCACACCTGGAAACACGAGTCACACCTGGAAACACGAGTCACACCTGGAAACACGAGTCACACATGGAAACACTAGTCACACCTGGAAACACAAGTCACACCTGGAAACATGAGTCACACTAGTCACACCTGGAAACACTAGTCACACCTGGAAACACAAGTCACACCTGGAAACACAAGTCACACCTGGAAACACGAGTCACACCTGGAAACATGAGTCACACTAGTCACACCTGAAAACACTAGTCACACCTGGAAACACTAGTCACACCTTGAAACACAAGTCACACCTGGAAACATGAGTCACACTAGTCACACCTGGAAACACGAGTCACACCTGGAAACATGAGTCACACTAGTCACACCTGAAAACACTAGTCACACCTGGAAACACGAGGCACACATGGAAACACGAGTCACACATGGAAACACTACTCTCACCTGGAAACACAAGTCACACCTGAAAACACAAGTCACACCTGGAAACACTAGTCACACATGGAAACACGAGTCACACCTGGAAACACTAGTCACACCTTGAAACACAAGTCACACCTGGAAACATGAGTCACACTAGTCACACCTGGAAACACTAGTCACACCTGGAAACACTAGTCACACCTGGAAACACTAGTCACACATGGAAACACTAGTCACACATGGAAACACTAGTCACACATGGAAACACTAGTCACACATGGAAACACGAGTCACACCTGGAAACACGAGTCACACCTGGAAACATGAGTCACACTAGTCACACCTGAAAACACTAGTCACACCTGGAAACACGAGGCACACATGGAAACACGAGTCACACATGGAAACACTACTCTCACCTGGAAACACAAGTCACACCTGAAAACACAAGTCACACCTGGAAACAGGAGTCACACATGGAAACACTAGTCACACCTGGAAACACGAGTCATACCTGGAAACACTAGTCACACCTGGAAACACTAGTCACACCTGGAAACACAAGTCACACCTGGAGATGCTAGTCACACCTGGAGATGCTAGTCACACTTGTCACACCTGGAAACACTAGTCACACCTGGAAACACTAGTCACACCTGGAAACACTAGTCACACCTGAAAACACGAGTCACACCTGGAAACACGAGTCACACATGGAAACACTAGTCACACCTGGAAACACTAGTCACACCTGGAAACACTAGTCACACCTGGAAACTGGAAACACAAGTCACACCTGGAGATGCTAGTCACACCTGGATATGCTAGTCACACTAGTCACACCTGGAAACACTAGTCACACCTGGAAACACTAGTCACACCTGGAAACACGAGTCACACCTGGAAACACTAGTCACACCTGGAAACACTAGTCACACCTGGAAACACTAGTCTCACCTGGGAACACAAGTCACACCTGGAAACACTAGTCACACCTGGAAACACTAGTCACACCTGGAAAGACTAGTCACACATGGAAGCACGAGTCACACATGGAAACACTAGTCTCACCCAGAATCAGAAACACTAGTCGTACCTGGAAACACTAGTCACACCTGGAAACACTAGTCACACCTTGAAACACTACTCTCACCTGGAAACACTAGTCATACCTGGAAACACTAATCACACCTGGAAACACAAGTCACACCTGGAGATGCTAGTCACACCTGGAGATGCTAGTCACACTAGTCACACCTGGAAACACTTGTCACACCTGGAAACACTAGTAACACCTGGAAACACGAGTCACACCTGGAAACACTAGTCACACCTGGAAACACAAGTCACACCTGGAAACATGAGTCACACCTGGAAACACAAGTCACACCTGGAAACACGAGTCACACCTGGAAACACGAGTCACACCTGGAAACACGAGTCAGACATGGAAACACTAGTCACACCTGGAAACAAAAGTCACACCTGGAAACATGAGTCACACTAGTCACACCTGGAAACACTAGTCACACCTGGAAACACAAGTCACACCTGGAAACACAAGTCACACCTGGAAACACGAGTAACACCTGGAAACATGAGTCACACTAGTCACACCTGAAAACACGAGTCACACCTGGAAACACTAGTCACACCTGGAAACACAAGTCACACCTGGAAACATGAGTCACACTAGTCACACCTGGAAACACGAGTCACACCTGGAAACACTAGTCACACCTGGAAACACAAGTCACACCTGGAAACATGAGTCACACTAGTCACACCTGGAAACACTAGTCACACCTGGAAACACTTGTCACACCTGGAAACACTAGTAACACGAGTCACACCTGGAAACACTAGTCACACCTGGAAACACAAGTAACACAAGTCACACCTGGAAACATAAGTCACACCTGGAAACACAAGTCATAGCTGGAAACACAAGTCACACCTGGAAACACTTGTCACACCTGGAAACACTTGTCACACCTGGAAACACAAGTCACACCTGGAAACACTTGTCACACCTGGAAACACTTGTCACACCTGGAAACACAAGTCACACCTGGAAACACAAGTCACACCTGGAAACACAAGTCACACCTGGAAACACTTGTCACACCTGGAAACACAAGTAACACCTGGAAACACTTGTCACACCTGGAAACACTAGTAACACGAGTCACACCTGGAAACACAAGTCACACCTGGAAACACAAGTAACACAAGTCACACCTGGAAACACTAGTAACACAAGTCACACCTGGAAACACTTGTCACACCTGGAAACACAAGTAACACCTGGAAACACTACTCTCACCTGGAAACACTTGTCACACCTGGAAACACAAGTCACACCTGGAAACACAAGTCACACCTGGAAACACTAGTCACACCTGGAGATGCTAGTCACACCTGGAAACATGAGTCACACCTGGAAACACTTGTCACACCTGGAAACACAAGTCACACCTGGAAACACAAGTCACACCTGGAAACACTTGTCACACCTGGAAACACTAGTCACAGCTGGAAACACAAGTCACAGCTGGAAACACTAGTAACACGAGTCACACCTGGAAACACTAGTCACACTTGTCACACCTGGAAACACTTGTCACACCTGGAAACACTAGTCACACCCGGAAACACTAGTCATACCTGGAAACACTAGTCACACCTGGAAACACTACTCTCACCTGGAAACACAAGTCACACCTGCAAACACTAGTCACATCTGGAAACACTAGTCACACCTGGAAACACTTGTCACACCTGGAAACACAAGTCACACCTGGAAACACTTGTCACACCTGCAAACACTAGTCACATCTGGAAACACTAGTCACACCTGGAAACACTAGTCACACCTGGAAACACAAGTCACACCTGGAAACACTTGTCACACCTCAAAACACGAGTCACAGTGCTTGATGAATACTGAATTCTGATTGATGGATGTAATTGATTGACATCATGCTGTATTGACTGTGACATTCATAGTGGGGTGTGGGGCCACAAAGGTGACAGCTGTGGTTGTTGGAGTGAGTGAGTGAGTGAGTTTGATTTTACGCCGCTTTTAGCAATATTCCAGCAATATCACGGCGGGGGACACCAGAAATGGGCTTCACACATTGTGTGGTTGTTGGAAATACCATACCCAGATCAACAACATGTGTAACAGTAAGACTGCTTTGTGACTCAGTGTTACAAATTGACACCAGTCCTGTAGTCCTTGTCAAAGTGCCCAATGGTTAAGGTATGATAAGGATTAGTAGAAATTTGTCATGTTTAAGGGTTTTCCTTTATGTTATCATTATAAGGACTCCTTCCAAATTATGTCATAGTTTGAGGTACACTCCCCAATGCTTGTTATTTAGTTGTGCGATCCCCTACAAGTTGTTTTTGTAAATGACCCGTTTTCTGAGGTGTGAGTCTTGTCCAGTTCTCTGACTGAGCTGTAATGTTGTGATGTGTTTGTAGGCATCGGCTACTTCACCCTCCCCTACCTGGTGCACGCCGGCGCAGGCCGAGTCATTGCCTGTGAATGGAACCCTGCGTCTGTAGATGCCCTCCGCCGCAACCTGCACCTCAACCGTGTACTGGACAGGTGTACTGTGTACATAGGGGATAACAGACAGGTGAGTTTCCTGGGAGAGGGAGGTATGTTGTGTACCTGGGGAACAGATCAGTGGAGAGGGAGGTACGTTGTGTACCTGGGGAACAGATCAGAGGAGAGGGAGGTATGTTGTGTACCTGGGGAACAGATCAGTGGAGAGGGAGGTATGTTGTGTACCTGGGGAACAGATCAGTGGAGAGGGAGGTACGTTGTGTACCTGGGGAACAGATCAGAGGAGAGGGAGATACGTTGTGTACCTGGGGAACAGATCAGTGGAGAGGGAGGTATGTTGTGTACTTGGGGAACAGATCAGTGGAGAGGGAGGTACGTTGTGTACCTGGGGAACAGATCAGTGGAGAGGGAGGTATGTTGTGTACCTGGGGATTTTAAAAGAGTTCTTTGAACTATTTGCTTCTTGATCCATTTACTGAAACACCAAGGCCCAGACACATGGTGAAAACAACGACAGTCTTGGAAGCAGACACATTCTGAAGTTTAAAACTGAACTTAGTGAATGGGTATCATCAGCATCAGACTATGATTTGAGTGAGGTGAGCTCCAAGCCCTTGCTCACGTTGTGGTTTGTGTGTTTCAGGTGTGTCCCGTGGATGTGGCAGACAGGGTCAACCTGGGTCTGATCCCATCGTCCGAGGTGGGCTGGCCTGTGGCCTGTGCAGCACTCAAGGCCGACAGTGGCGGGATTCTACATATCCATGGAAACGTGACATCGAAGCACCCAGCATGCAACACTCATGATACAGATGACCTTGATCATACAGTGACTGAAGATGGTCAAGGTCATCCGACTTTCTCTGTTCACAAAACTGCAGCTTTGATGACTCAACTCAACACAGCCTGTACTTGTAATAACAAACATGTGGGAAGATGCAGCGAGAACACACAAGAAGGAGGGGCTTTGATAATCTCCTCTGAGATTGACAGATGTCATTTTGAACATTCAAGATCAAATCCTAAACATTCCAACTCAAACTCCAAAGTAAAAACAAAAGTAGACAGAAGAAACGTTTCCTGCAACAAGAAATTAAGACCCGAGTGGTTGAGTTGGTCCAGAGAAGTGACAGTTAAGATAAACAGCCTCCTTGAACATGGCAAAAACACTTGGACTGTCACCATTCTACACATTGAACATGTCAAGTCCTATGCCCCTCACATAGATCATCTCGTTCTAGATCTCGACTGTCGACCTAACATATGACACCTTTCTACTGGAATGTGGATTTAAGTTGTAATTAAAGGAGGGGATTCATGTTTTTTTTATTTTTCGTTTTTCTTTCTTCTTTTTTAACACCAATAGTATTAAAGAGAAAACTGATGTGAGGAAAGGGTTTGAAAGGAGGCGGACAGGGATGAAATGTAATAATTGATTTATTATGTTTATTGTTAGTTTCAACATAAACTAAGTATTGATCAATGTTGTCCTTGTCTTTCATATATTGTTGTAATATTTTGGTTCTTTTGCAAATGATCCAATTGGTAATTTCAGAAATTAAAAAACAACATATCCTTAATTACATAGCAGATGTACCTTTGACTGAATCATTTGTGATCATGGTTCATAAGCTATTGCTAAACCACAGTAAAATAGGACAGATTAGACCCCCATATCCTCATCTAGCAGGATGACACGACAGAGCCTGACCCCCATATCCCCATCTAGCAGGATGACATGATAGAGCCTGACCCCCATATCCTCATCTAGCAGGATGACACGATAGAGCCTGACCCCCATATCCTCATCTAGCAGGATGACACGACAGAGCCTGACCCCCATATCCCCATCTAGCAGGATGACATGATAGAGCCTGACCCCCATATCCTCATCTAGCAGGATGACACGATAGAGCCTGACCCCCATATCCTCATCTAGCAGGATGACACGACAGAGCCTGACCCCCATATCCCCATCTAGCAGGATGACATGATAGAGCCTGACCCCCATATCCCCATCTAGCAGGATGACATGATAGAGCCTGACCCCCATATCCTCATCTAGCAGGATGACACGATAGAGCCTGACCCCCATATCCTCATCTAGCAGGATGACACGACAGAGCCTGACCCCCATATCCCCATCTAGCAGGATGACATGATAGAGCCTGACCCCCATATCCTCATCTAGCAGGATGACACGATAGAGCCTGACCCCCATATCCCCATCTAGCAGGATGACACGACAGAGCCTGACCCCCATATCCCCATCTAGCAGGATGACATGATAGAGCCTGACCCCCATATCCTCATCTAGCAGGATGACACGATAGAGCCTGACCCCCATATCCTCATCTAGCAGGATGACACGACAGAGCCTGACCCCCAGATCCTCATCTAGCAGGATGACACGACAGAGCCTGACCCCCATATCCCCATCTAGCAGGATGACATGATAGAGCCTGACCCCCATATCCTCATCTAGCAGGATGACACGATAGAGCCTGATCCCAGATCCTCATCTAGCAGGATGACACGACAGATTAGACCCCCATATCCTCATCTAGCAGGATGACACGATAGAGCCTGACCCCCATATCCCCATCTAGCAGGATGACACGATAGAGCCTGACCCCAATATCCCCATCTAGCAGGATGACACGACAGATTAGACCCCCATATCCTCATCTAGCAGGATGATACGACAGAGCCTGACCCCCATATCCTCATCTAGCAGGATGACATGATAGAGCCTGACCCCCATATCCCCATCTAGCAGGATGACACGACAGATTAGACCCCCATATCCTCATCTAGCAGGATGACACGATAGAGCCTGACCCCCATATCCTCATCTAGCAGGATGACATGATAGAGCCTGACCCCCATATCCCCATCTAGCAGGATGACACGACAGATTAGACCCCCATATCCTCATCTAGCAGGATGACACGATAGAACCTGACCCCCATATCCTCATCTAGCAGGATGACATGATAGAGCCTGACCCCCATATCCCCATCTAGCAGGATGACACGATAGAGTCTGACCCTCATATCCCCATCTAGCAGGATGACACGACAGAGCCTGACCCCCAGATCCCCATCTAGCAGGATGACACGACAGATTAGACCCCCATATCCTCATCTAACAGGATGACACGATAGAGCCTGACCCCCATATCCCCATCTAGCAGGATGACATGATAGAGCCTGACCCCCAGATCCCCATCTAGCAGGATGACACGATAGAGCCTGACCCCCATATCCCCATCTAGCAGGATGACACGATAGAGCCTGACCCCCATATCCCCATCTAGCAGGATGACACGACAGATTAGACCCCCATATCCTCATCTAGCAGGATGACACGAAAGAGCCTGACCCCCAGATCCCCATCTAGCAGGATGATACGACAGAGCCTGACCACCAGATCCCCATCTTGCACGATGACACGACAGACAAGCATCAACTTTCTGGGTTCTACAATTGTTGAATGGGAGTTTCTTGATTCGGGAACTTACGGTAAAGATAGTTCTTCAAAAGTTGTCTCCCTTTGACTTCATTTCCACCATTGCAGTGATATTATTTGTTTATAACTACAAATATGAAGTTCCACCACTGATAAGGAATAACAATGGACATTGGTACCTGAGGTATTATTATTCAATTTAAACATATGCTACAAATGATTATATATTAGTTCTGAATATTAGTTCTTGGTGGAAACTGTGCCCCCATCATTTTGACTTTTGTTTTTAACCTGTACTGCTAAACAAAAATCAGGAAATGACAATTGAACCCGAGGATCTGCAGTACCCCTGCAATTTATGACAACAGCAAACCGGTGAAAATCCGGATTAGAACTGGTATTCAGCTCCCATGCTTGTGCCCCGTGATTAGAATTGGTATCAACATCCGTTGGGGGTCAGGCTCACTGACTTTGTTGATGCACGTCATCGTATCTTAATTACGTGGATCGATGCTCATGTTATCAATCACTGGATTGTCTGGTCCAGACTCGATTGTTGACAGACCGTGGTCATATAGCTGGAACGTTTCTGATTTTTACGCTGCTTGCTGCTTGGCTCTCGGCATTAAAACGTGGTGGGTTCGTAGTCAGAAAATGTGTCTGAGTGGCGTATCCATGTTAAACTGCGGCACGGTATGTCATTGGGCTAGCACTATCAAACCGGCATTAATCCACGCCAGCGCGCACGCACGCACGTGCATGTGCGTCGCTTTGTAAATGCAATAATCTACAACGACACGTTAAACCCTATATCACCTCACCTCGAAGTCAATAGAAAGTCCATTATAAGGTCTTCGTCTTTCCAGGGTATTAATTTCCATCTATGATAATGATAATATCATAATGAATGGAGATACACACTGGATGATCGAAGATGACCCCCTTGGCAGACTAGGTCTACAGTCTGTCATGCTTGTCAGTCGACTGGAGAGGATCACGTGACTGACCACGCGTTGTGGGGCGTGGTTCACGCTGCCGGTTAATGGTTGGTTTGACGTGCTGCAGCTGGAATACTGGTGACACCGTTAGACAACTATCAATTAAACCAGCACTTTGAAGTTACCCGTGTGAATGTCCGTCAACTGAATGAATGGGGTGAAATAAGGTTAACGTCGCGTTCAAGATTATTGCACTTATACAGCGACGTGTGTGTGCGCACGTGCGTGCGTGCGTGCGTGCAGGTACTAGTCTGGACTAATACCGCCTTTTTAGTGCTAGCCCACTGAGTTACCATGTAGCAGTTTCAAATTATACTTACTCCGAGCTCAACAGTCCTTGTTTTATCCTTTTATTGCCGAGCGTCAAGCAGGGTAACAACAAGTACCATTTTTAACGTCTTTTGGTATGACGCAGTCGGGGACCACACCACTAACCAAGCGCTCTCCAGGCAGACGCTCTACCACTACAACAAGGAGGCGGTCTCCAGGCAGACGCTCTACCACTACAACAGAGAGGGGGTCTCCAGGCAGGCGCTCTATCCACTACACCACAGGGGGCGGTCGGGTAGCCTAGTGGTTAAAGCGTTCGCTCGTCACGCCGAAAACCCGGGTTCGATTCCCGATAAGGGTACAATGTGTGAAGACCATTTCTGGCGTCCGTCGCCGTAGTATTGCTGGAATATTGCTAAAAGCGGCGTCAAACCACACGTCCTCTTAGTCTACGAGCAGCACGCATTTTAGACTGAATACACTGTAACCTCTCTAAACCAGACTTGAGTGGGAGTCCCGTGGGGAGTCCAGGAACCCATGGTGGTCGCGAGGGGTAACTCTACGGATCGGTGGTCAGACTCGGCGACTGGTTGATGACGGCATGGAACATTGCTCTCAATATCAATCACTGGATCATTTAGAGCTCGCCGTCATGTCACGTCGCTCGCCTTAACCACTAGGCGACCCGACCGCCCCGACTGCAAACGTAATCTTGTTTAGTGAAGTGAGATTTAAGCAGGAGTTGCGTCCCTTGATGTCACGATGAGGTCACGCAAGAGGAGGACACTATTATGCAAACGTTCATGTTAAATTGAATACACAATTCCGGTTTCGTTTAACAAGATTTAAATAAAAAAACCATCTCGGTTTGGCCCGACCCATTTAGCCCCTCATAGTAAATAGGCCTAACATAGACGGGATGACACATGTGTCTTAGGTATCCTTGCTACGTCATTCGTGCTTACTGGGCATGCGTATGTTTAATATTTGAATACTTCAAAATGGCGCCTCTGGACGATGATCAGCGGTTCTCCCAGGCGGACATGTTCCGGCTGATAGCGCTGTATCGACGCGAGGGTACACTGTGGAATATGTCCGCTCCGGACTACCATAACAAGGATGCCCGTAACGAGGCCATTCAAAGGATCACCACAAACATGGACGGCGCGTTTACAGGTGAGGGGGCGTCTCAAAATCAAAATGGCTGGGTCAAAGCAGAAATGTTGGCATTGTTTCGTGTTTTTTGGTAAGAGGTAAACCTCCTATTCAGTTATAAACAAGTAATAACTGAATGCATGTTTTGTTATAAACTATTTTTGTTGATATGTTTTTGACTCGACCTTTCGCTCCTCTTTCCGAAGTTCCGGGTTCGATTCCCACGAGGATGTAATGGATAACCCATTCTTGGTGTTTCCGTGTCCTGACATGGATAACGTAATATTTAAAATGGTGTAAACTTAAACTCATACGTTCCTTTTGTGCAAGAAATCTTGATGTTATACAACTAGATCTACACACTTACGTCAAAAATAGGAGTGAGTGTTTGATTATGGTTTTACGCCGCTTTTAACAATATTCCAGCAATATCACAGTGGGGGTCACCAGAAATGGGATTCACTCATTGTACCCATGTCGGAAATAGAACTCGGGTCTTCAGCGTGACGAGCGAACGCTTTAACCACTAGGCTACCCGACCGCCACTCGCAAAATAGGAAGGACCCATGCGAAGCCAGACAGGTTGGGT